CACTACACAGTTTGGACTCATAGTGGTCATCCTGTTTTCAGCTTCCCAAGCACTGGGATTACAGATGTATACCACCACGCCCAGTCTCAGTCAAGGTGTCAGTGCACCCCAAGGGCGGGGCAGGCACAGCATGCTGGAAATTGAACCCTGGTCCCTGTGCCAGGTGCTTTAATCCTCTGAGCTATCTGACCAGCCCTTGTTTTCCAATATTTTCTTGTTTTTAAGAACATTATATTTAATGGAGAAAGAAAAGTCAAATGAGAGCTAAGTTAAAATCAAAATACCCTACACTGTTTCTTTCTATTGTCACTCTACTATCTATTCCAAGCATATTACCCCTTCATTCTTTGTAATTTTCCTCTAGATAACTGACTATGGTATCTTCAACTCTCTTGGATTAAATATTTTCATCAATTTTACATTATTTAGGGTTTCATTCGCTCGAAGGCACAAGCCACCTTTGTCTCAATTTCCATGATCATGTGCCGCTTTCTGCTATATTTAATTAAAATTCTGGAATTAAATATATGCCTCTCCATCACTCTGGCTGACAAAATAATCAGAATTCCAAATTTCAGAATATCTCAGTCCTGTTTAATCATATTCTTTTAAAATCTCTCCACTGGCTAAAAGACTTGGTTCTCCCAAGAATTTTTCTAATTCTAGGATAATTATCTGACTGGTTTCTTATTGAAGTTTCTATTCATGATATTAAAAAATCACTTTTTATATTACTATATATTATATACTTGTTTATATTATTTCCACAACAATAGTGCATCTTCCTAATTGGTCATAAATGCATGCCTAACCAGCCTCCTCTTAAATCTGCTGCCCTGAGATGAAACAGACCGCAAGACAAGAATGCATTAGACAGTTGCCTTTTCCGACTTCAAGGGCTGCAGCAACCCTATCGTCTACATGTGAAATGGGAAACCAACATCCATTCCTTCCTTTTGGCTGGATTCTCACAGTCTGGACCCTAAACAGGAAAAGCATGTGTGACTTCATCTTAAATCACTTGGGGCTACTGATCTTCAGAATAATAGCAACAAGAACAGATCCTCCAGACCTCGGGACCTACTGAATTATAATTTCTAGATGATTATGACTAGGAATCTGTGCTTTTAAGAAGTGCCACACACTAATTCTGACATGTTAGAAACTGACAGAGCAATGACATTCCTTTTAGTCCTCTTAGATCTCTCTGCCCTATGCTTCAAGTGCTCACAACTATCTTTTAGCAAAAGTAAATCTCTTACTAACACATACTTTCTCTTGTTTCAAATGCTGTCTGTCCAATTAAACACCTCAGTGATATCTACAGGTTAGATTTGCTTCCTCTGGTTGCCACTTTACATTCATGTCACGCCCCTAAGGGGGCACAGCATGTTTTAGTCTTGTGGAAAATCCATTGGCTGTGACACCAGATAATCTGGCTTGAATGCTGGTTTTGTCAACTGATATTTGAGTACCCTTAAACATCCGTTTTCCTTTTTTATTTCAGTCTTCTTTAACACAAAAATGATATTAAAGGGGCTGGTGAGATGGCTCAGTGGTCTAAAGCGCCTACTTAGAACAAGCTTAGCAAAGCACAGGGACCGCGGTTCAATCCCCCAGC